AAGTATGTATAAAAATCAACCCCCACTTCCCACAAAAAATGGGAATTAGGCGTGGGGCTCAAATAATGAAAAACAATTCCGCGGGATATTCAAAAGCAGTGTGAGACATGCGGCAGTTCTTTGTGTTATACAACTGGAACTGAGAACCCGTATCCCCAGGGATACTTAGCATCCCTTACCGTTAGCAAATGACAGTTATATGTTCTTTCCCTTCCACTCCATCATTTTAACAATCAAAAAATTTCCACAGATTTCCATAACGCTCCCTAGAAAGTAGTACCAGCCCCATGGGGATTTACTGCTTTAGAGAAAACTCAACATGTCTAGTCATAATTACTCCATCCCTTAAGTGAGGCAGTTGGATCATGCCAGTTCCGACGTGCTATGACTACACCCTACCAGGTCATTTGAACTTGGATAGAATCTGAGCACATGACTCTGAACTGGCCAAAGTCCAAGGCAAAAGATATTTTTTAGATGTAAAGCATTCCTCTAAATACAGTATAAGTTTCTATAAGCGTGAATGATCACAAAATGGGACATTCAGTTTCACAAATTATTAAGCTTTTACTGCTTCAAAACTTACTAAAATTTTTCTAACATGTGTTAAACCAAAACTGAAAAATACATAAATAAAAAAAATTAGACCATATTTTGAGATAGAATGTATGTAAAAAGTGGTTCTCAAGCTTGAATATACTGACTCCTTTTTGTTTGTTTTTGTTTGTTTTGTTTGGGGGATAATTAGGTTAGTCTGTGTTTTAACAGAGGTACTGGGGCTTGTACCCAGGACCTCATGCATGCTATGCATGCACTCTGCCACTGAGCTATACCCTCCCCCGTTGACTCTTTACAAAGGAGAAAAACAAACAGATCTTTAAGACTGTGAAACTTCAGAGTTCCATGGAATGTTACTCAGCCATTAAAAAAGAATAAACTATTGCTATTTGCAGCAACATGGATGGATTTAAGAGAATATTATGCTTAGTGAAGTAAGCCAGAGAAAGACAAATACTATGTGATATCACTTATATGTGGAATCTAAAATATAATATGAATAAATCTATATACAAAACAGAAACAGACTCACAGACAGAAAACTTACGGTTACCAAAGGGGAGAGGGATGGGAGTGGGGGAGGGACAAATTAGGAGTATGGGATTAACAGATACAAACTACTATACATAAAATAGATAAGCAACAAGGATTTACCATATAGCACAGGAAATTACATCCAATATGTTGTAATAAACTATAATGGAATACAATCTGCAAAAAAAAAAGTGAATCAGTGCTGTACACCTGAAACTAATGCAATATTGTAAATCAGCTATACTTCAGTTAAAAAAAGGAGAGAGTTCCATGGAGTCATTGGGGCTTGAAAAGGGGGTTTGGGCATGATGAGGTAGACTTGGGGAGGGAGGGGGGCACTAGAGCATTCCCAGCACATGGAGAAGCTAGAATATGCATAAGGTGACAAGGGGACCCTTGGGGGACCGGCTGACTGCTTATAGCTGGTGGTTTACACTGAGGAGCAGAGAGAAAACCAAGCACGGTTTTATTGTGTTCATTTCTGTCTACGATTTTTTTTTCACTTTTCAAGAAGGTTTTCCATTAACTTAAGGTGGTTTTTTTCCCCCTCATTAGAACAACTTGAAAACCTAGAAAAAATTATAATTTTGATCTCTGCTGTTTAGTGTTTGTATCTAGCACCACTAAGTAGTGGTGCACTTTGTTACTTATGATGATCAGTTATGTTCAGATATCACCAGATAATTTCATTTATTAGTTCAGTAGGTATTTATTGAGTGCTTCCTAACATTCTGAATCCTGGGTGGGATTTCTGTTTGTTGTCTGTCAGGTAACAACCCTGTCAAGTCCTGTACTAATTTCTCTGTGGGGTTTGAACATTTCCTTCTCTTCTCCTCACCCTCCTCCCTCCTCCTGCCCCCAGATCTTCTGAGTTACATCCAGCTGCTACTCTTTGCACTCAGAGAAAGTTCCTTCTTAGCTCATTATAAAGTAAGAAAAAGCTGAGCTTAATGTCCCAAATGTGCCTTCCTCAGAAATCTTTGTTCAGAAACAGTCATTTCTGAAAAATGCTTTTTTGGAAAGCTGATTGTTGGGTTAAGTACATCCTGTTGGTTTTAAGGACACTTGTATTTTGAAAAGTTTCCGCACAGGGCTATTGCCAAATAGGCCCTCTCTTGTGTTTAAATAGGTCTTCTACTTGATTCTCTCATTTTCTTCTACTGTTTCGCTTTTAAAAATCTCATTGTCTTGGTTGTATTTTTCAGTCAAGTCCTAATTCGAAGCAGAGTCCTCAGGGAAAATGGAAAGTACATTCCCAAACAGGTACTCATCTATCTTTTATTAAGATCTGCAGGATTCACTGTTGAGGGCAGTAGATAACTGAAAGCTTTATAAGGGAACTCTTCGGGAAAAGCTGATGGCCGGTGAGGCCGTAATTAAGCTGTGGCCTGGTAGTGTTTGCTGTCATTGTGACCTTGCCCTTCTTAGGAAATTGTTTTTAAATGTGACTCAGCTAAAGTGTCAGGTCGGCTGCCAAGTAGGCTGCGAGCTCTGAGTCTAACAGCATATGCCAAGGGCCTTTGGACTAAAACCTTGGGGTAATAATTTGACAATGTGCTATGTCACAGTTTTAAGACTTAAAAAGTTCTTTTTTCTACTAGTCTTTCTTGACACGGAAATATTACTTCAACAACTCAGAGGATGGATTTTTCAAAAAAACTAAAAGGAAGGTTGTGCCACCTTCTCCAATGACTGGTACGTGTAGTCCCTTCTCTCATCTCGAAGGAAGATTTTTAACGTGAGTTCGGAGGGTTGGGGTGGGCAGGGAGGAAGTCCTTTTATTTGAAATTTAAATTGTAGAACACAGTAATCTAAGGGGCCTGAGAGATCGTCTGATATAGGGATCTACATACAGAAATGGAGTTTTCTTTTTCAAATAAGTCTGCAGGGAGCCCCAGTGTATAAAGTGGAACTTAAAAAAAAAAAAGAGAGAGAGCTCTCGGCTGAGTGGAGCTGGGTCTGTCCCCTTTGCTCTTCCACAGGACCCAGGGCTGTGAGGAGCACAGCTGGAAAGCATTCCACTCCCAGGTGCCACCCAGTGTCTGGATCCTGTTGCTGGCAGATGGCCCCCCAGATTCTGCCCGAATGCTTCCCTGGACCATCCTCTCTTTGTCAGACATGATTGTTTGGCCCACCCTACAGTTTTTCCTCTAACAGATTTCTTACTTCCACTTATCCCCGTCATGTGAAAAATACAGCATCTTTAAAGTAAAACAAAATAATTTGTTATTCAGTGTTGACTATCCTCTCATTTTAGTACCTGTTTCTCTAGGTGAGATAACCAGCTATTTTAAACCCAGACAGAAAGTACAGGGATTGTAATAAGTCTCTCAGAAAACCAACAAGAATCAAAAGACCAATGAGCGTATGAAAAGATGCTTGACGTCACTAAAATCAAAGGAATGCAAATTAAAGCAAGATGTCCCTTTTAGCCCATTAAATTGGCGAAGATGGAAAATCTCAAACAAAGCTGCTACTGTCAAGGTCATGGGAAGTTAGGCACTCTCACTGTTGCTGGAGCTCAGTTTTAAAAGATCAAATCCTTTGGCCCAGAAATTCTTCTAAGAGTTTCTCTTACAGAAACACTTAAGTAAGCATGCAGATATATGTACGAGGTATTTGTTGGCAGCATTGTGTATTGGCAAAAAAAAAAAAAAGGAAACAGTCTACAGGTCTACCCAAAAGTGATGGGTGTCACCACACAGTAGACTCCTATGCAGACGCTGAAAATAATGGCATATACCAGTATGGAAACACCATTCACCATATGTTAACTTCTTTAAATTAGGAAGCAGAATAGTAAGCATGGTGTCTCTTTATGTATACATAGAGAGAGTGAAACTATTGTGCGTATATACATATATACATGCATAGGTGTATGTGTGCATTTATACAGACATGCAATGGAAGGATATACAATGAACAGTTATGTGTTTAGAGAGTAGGCTCAGAGGAACTGTCTACCTCCGGTGTTCCTATGTCGTTTGAATTTTTTTTACAGTGAACTTGTGTTACTTCAATTATCAAGTAAATTAAAATTCTACAGTAAACAAGGAGTAAGTCCCTGCCAGCAGTGGTAACATGTCTCTCTGTTTTTGTCTTAGACCCCACTATGCTTACAGACATGATGAAAGGCAATGTAACAAACGTCCTCCCTATGATTCTCATTGGTGGATGGATCAACATGACGTTTTCCGGCTTCGTTACAAGTAAGTTCCAGGCCCAGGAGACGTCAGCTGTACTTCCTCTGTGCGCCTTTCCTGTGTCCCCATTCAGAGAGACCCACATGCTGCTGAGACCTCATATCGTGGGTCCTGTGTTCTCTGGTGGAAACTGAAAACAGTCTTTGAACAAAAAAACTTATATGCTATGATTTTATGTCTCTTACTCCAAAGTGATCATAAATTCGCAATGTGGATGCATGTTTACTAATAGGGACTCAAATGAGTGACATGCTAGTTTATATCTGAAACTAATTTGGTGCTCTGGTAGGAGAAAGGGAAGCCTATTTCTGTTTCGACTTCATTTTCTAAGTGTTGGGGTCAGTCATTTGTCTGTAAGCTGTTTGATTTAAATGAATATGGTTTCTCAGTAATGTAGTTCTTTGTGGGGATATATTCCACTTTGGGTTTAACAGATGAGTGCAGACTTCCAGATTTTGGGTCACAGCTCAGTTTGAGGCCCTGCTTCTTAAGCAATAGAAAAGCTGGTGTTGTTCAAAGAACTATAGCAAGGTTTTATTTGACTGTAAATTACTTCAGAAATTGACCCAAATCTTATTATGGAAATCATTTTCCAAACACTGTATGGTAGAGTTCCCACCTCCTCGGGGAAATAATATGTGCACGAGACTTAAACTGTTCTAAAAAGGAAGTGAGGAGTGACTTGAACTTTCTCTTTCTTCCCTGCAGCAAAGGTCCCATTTCCACTGACCCTCCGTTTTAAGCCTATGCTACAGCAAGGAATTGAACTACTCACATTAGACGCATCCTGGTAAGGACTTTTACTTGATAAGAACACAAACCAAAATCTAAAACAGGGATCTCATGAAAAACAAGATTTCCAGTTTGCCTACTTCAGTGGAATAGGTTTTTGGAGTTTCTCCTCATTGAAACTCCACTCAGAATGCCTCGGTAGGATTGTGGTGGCTTTTACACGAGTCTTGCAAAAGGAGGGAATGTATCAGGAGAGAATGTATCAGCCTCTTTTCTCTAGCTTCTTGGGGCTCAGGAGTGCAAGATGGATGTGTTTTAACTTTTTTTAATCAAAAAAGTTAAAAGATAAGCCAGGAACTCTGGCCAAGGCAAACTTTTTAGCAATAAATACCCTAGAGCTCATGGGAGTGGATGTTTGTATTATTTTTTCCAAAATACATCACTGCTGATAATAACATTAATCATTTTCACTGGTGCCAGTCTCTGTGCTATTTTCCATATATTACTTTTTTCTTATAGCAACCCTAGCATGTAAGTGGAGACATTGAGATCTGACCACAGATCTGTCCAAATCCAGCACTCATGTCTTATTTACCATTCTGTTTTTTATAGCAGAGTAATAAAACCCCAAATCTGAGAAGCTCTTAGAACACTGCTGCAGCAGCTGGAACCTGGGGGTGCTCTTCCTGTGGTGTCTCTAGATTATTTTATCCACAGCTTCCCAGAGACTGGCATATAAATATGGAAGCCGGACGGGAGGAGGAGAGTGGACAGTGGGGGTCACCCGTGCTGATTTTGACTCACCCCGCAGCTGGAGCAGAGCCGTGTCTGGTTGTGTGGCAGGGGCAGGACAGACCCGGTGCTGGGAGATTCTGGGCTGCGCGCGGCTCTCCCAGAGCAGGAAAGCTGAACCTAATGAATAGCATGACTCTGTTAAACCTTGACCTTCCAGTCTCATTTGGAGACAAAAGCTTCATGGGCTGGAGTAAAGCTTTTTCTCCTTTCTCAGCAGCTGGACAGGTATGTGCCTGACATGCTCTCCTGGACAAAGGAGACTGGAACCAGGTATAAATTAGCTTACAGACCTGCATCATTACGTACAGATACGTGCGACCCAAGTATTGGAATGAAGTGTGGCTTCTTTCCCCCTCTATATCATTTCTTTTAATCTTTTTAGTTTTTATTATATGCAAGCATATTAATTTTATGGCGGCAAGGTGGGAAATCGAAACTAAGGAGAACTTCAGTGATACAGTTTAAAACTTGGAGTGGCTTTCCCAGTAGCTGCAGTCTTCAGGATTGCAGGAAAAGCGTGAAGCCCACCAGCACTTGTGATTTCCTCTAGAGAACAGGATTCAGGACAGGAGGCCTGCTTCAACTTATATTTTATGTACTTCTATATCATTTGCATTTATTATATATAGTAAGTGTGTGTTGTTCTGATGATTGAAAATAAATGGTTTGAAAACCCATTATGCAGAAAGGAAAATTAAATTAAACAAGACTTACATTTCCTGATAATATGAGGCACACCAGTAGTGAGTTCAGTTCCTGCTACTGAATGCAGAAGAATCTATCACGTGGCTGGAAGTAGGTGTCTGCCTCCATATATTACCTTATTTTATCCTCACAGCAGCTCTGAAGCGAGTGGAGCAACTGGGATCTGACCCCAGAGTCTGTGCAAACCCAGCACTCAGCTGGTTGCTCGCAGAGAGCTGTAGCTATTTGTAATACCGCCTTCATAACTTGCATTTCTTCTTTGGTTGTGCTTTAGATGCATATAGCCTACCCCCAGCTGATCTCTTCACATACCCTGGACAACTTTGGATGGAAGGGAAGTGTGAACTATGTTAATTCTGAAATAACTGCCTACCTTGTTTCACTTTTGCTTCACTAGGGTGAGTTCTGCATCCTGGTACTTCCTCAATGTGTTTGGGCTTCGGAGCATTTACTCTCTGATTTTGGGCCAAGATAATGGTAAGAAGCACATCAGGTTTAATAAGCAAATACTTTGATAGACGAATCGTCCAGGCCAGAGCCAGATTGGTCATGTTGCCTTGCTGTTTATAAGCGTGGTCAGAGACAGTGCTTCATCCCTTAAACCTGTTCATAAGTTTCTGAGGTATTCAGAAAGATCCTTAAAAATCCCAGGGTCCAACTGAGGATCTGAATTCTCCTTCGCCATCACGGGGTCAATATTTAGTTGCCCAAAGTCTGATGCCCTCTGATGTGAGGGATTCAGCACCAGCAACGTGAGCCGTAAACCTGAAGCTGAAAGAAGGCCGGGTGTGAGCAGTTAGTCCATTGACTAGAGTTCTTGCCAGTAGTGGTCCTGGCTCTCTCACGTCATAGCTGGGACCTTGGGCAAGTTACTTAACCACTCTAGTCCTCTGCTTACCTGTCTGTAAAATTGGGACCTTAACAGTTATCTCCTGGGCTTGTTGCTAGGAGTAACGAGGTAGATACACAAAGTACTTAGTGAAGTAGCTGGCATGTAGGACTTGCTCAGTAACCAATGGCTGTAGTTATTGTTATTTCAATTTGAAATAAAGTTTAGAGCTTCCTTCAGTTACTTTTCTTCTCCTGTTATCACCCTACTGTTATAATGTCCATTTTTCAGGAGAGGTAAAGTGACTTTCCAGGGTCACAGAGGGCATGGTAGGGCCAGCCAGTGACCCGTCACATACATTCTCTAACACACTGCCAAGCAAGCATCTGTAAGTGCTATGTAAGGACCCTTCCTCCCTGAGGGTCCTGGGTGCTGGCTGAGCCCGGGCACTCACGGTACTGTGTGTTACGCTGCAGCGGCTGACCAGTCACGGATGATGCAGGAACAGATGACTGGAGCAGCCATGGCCATGCCTGCGGACACCAACAAAGCTTTTAAGGTACACTCATTCCTCCTTCCAGCTTCACTGAAGCTCTGAAAGGAGTTACCAGATTTACTTTTTTTTTTTTTATTCTTTTCTTGGGGTGGGGGGAATAATTAGGTTTTTATTTATTTATTTTAATGGAGGTACTGGGGATTGAACCCAGGACCTTGTGCATGCTAGGCACACATTCTACCACTGAGCTATGCCTTACCCCACTCAGAGTTACTTTTAAAGATGGATTCCCTGATGCAAGTAAAGTATGTGTGGTCCCCTTGTTTAAATCTGATAAAAATGTGTTTTAGTTTACATGTCTAATTCCTGAGACAGAATCATCTGTCAGGTAAATTAGAGATTCTTGGTACTTTTACTGGTTTTTAAATGCTTACCCAAATTTAATCCACACTGTGAACAAAGCTATAAAAACAGCCCAATGAGAGGCACCAGGTCAACCTCTGGGCTATTTTGAACTTTTTTGGACCCAGCTATAAATTTCATTTAAAAAAAAAATCAAATGCTTACAGTCTTTTCATGAAATGATTCTGGAATCTCTCAAATCCAATATAATTTTTACACAGGAAAGTCTTACTATTTTACATGATAAAAACTAGAAATAGAGGGGAATTTGCTCGTCTTGATGAGCGACATCTGCAGAAGACCCACAGCTAACATCATATTCACACTGAAAGCTTTTCCCCTAGCGTTAGGGACAAAACCAGGACGTCCACTCTCACCACTTCCATTCAACACTGTACCAGATGTCCTAGCCGGGGAAGTTAGGCAGGAAAAAGAAAGAAAAAGCATCTAGATTAGAAGGGAAGAAGTAAAACTATCTCTGTTTGCAGATAACATGGCCTTGCATAGAGTAACCCAAGGAATCCACAAAACAAACAAACAAACAAAAACCATGGGAGCTTATAAACAAGTTCAGCAAGGTTTTGGGATACAGGGTCGATATACAGAAATCAGTCACATTTCTACACACTGGTAATAAAGAATCTGAAAAACTGAAATGAAGAAAACAATTCCATTTATAATCGTGTCAAAAAGAATAAAATAATAAATTTAACAAAACATGCAAGGCTTGTACACTGAAACTTACAAAATATTGCTGAAAGAGATTAAAGAAGACCTGAATAAGTGGGAATACACCCATGTTCGTGGATTAGAACTTAATATTGACAAGATGGCAGTACTGCCAGATCTGTTGATCTGCAGATTCAACAGTCTCTATCAAAATTCCACCACCCTTTCTTGCAGAAATTGACAGGCTGCTCCTGAAGTTCATATGGAAGTGAAAGGGTCCCAGAATAGGCCGGACAACGTTAAATAAGAACAAAGCTGGAAGACTTACACTGCCTGATCTTAAAAGCTACTTCTGAGCTACAGCCATCAAGACTGTGGGACTGGCATACTGATGGACGTACACAGTGATGGAGGAGAATTGGGAATTCAGAAATAAACCTATGCATTTAGAGCAAATGATATTTGACAGATGCCACGACAACTCACTCGGGGAAGGAATAGTCTTACTGCTTATTGGGTCCAGAGTTTCTGTTTAGGGGATGAAAAATTTGGAAATATGGTAATGGTTGCAAACACTGAACATAATTAATGCCACTAGAATGTATACTTAATGGTTTAAAAGTGGCAAATTTTATGTTTTATATTTATATATACACACACACACACGTATATACAAACACATGTATTTTACCAGAAATAAAAAAAAATTTTAAAATAAGTTTTTAAATGGGTCAAAGACCTAAATATAAGAGCTGAAACTATAAAGCTTTTAAAAGAAAACATCATAGATGTGTCTGTGACCTTAAATTAGACAATGATTTCTCGGATATTATGTCAAAAGTACAGGCAACAAAGGGGGAAATAGATGGAACTTTGTCAAAATGAAAACTTTTCTAATTAAAAGGATTCATAATTGGGGTCGGGGGAAGAAAACTTTTGTGCTTCATAAAACACTATTACAAAGTGAAAAGACAACCCATAAAATCAGAGGAAATGTTTGCAAATGATAAATCTGATAAGAGTCCAGTATTAAAAACTTTTAGAATGCAACAATTAAAAGACAGTCCAGTAAGAAATGGACAAAAGAGTTAAATAAACATTTCTCCAAAGAAGTTACACAAATACCCAATAAGCTAAGCCCATGGAAAGATGCTCAGCATCACTAGTCATCGGGGAAATGCACATCAAGACCACAGTGAGATGCCACTTCACAGTCACCCAGATGGTTATAATAAAGAAGATGGACAGTAACAAATGTTGGCAAGGATGTGGAGAAATCGGAACCTCACATATGCTGGTGATTGTGCAGCCGCTTCAGAAAGCAGTTTTTAGCCTTTCCTCAGAAAGTTAGACGTACTTATTATCATATGACCTAGCAGTTCTACTTTTAGGTAAGTACTCAAGAGAACTGAAAACATAATGTTCACACAAAAATTTAGTATAAGAACGTTCAGAACACTATTGATAATAGTCAAAAAGTAGGGACAATTCAAATGTCCATCATCTGATGAACAGATAATGCAGTGTATAGAGAGTGGAATGTATGCAATAGAAAATTAGTCAGCCATAAAAAAGAATGAAGTACTGACTCATGCTACCACAAGGAGGAAGCTTAAAAATGCGCTAAGTGAAAGAAACCAGTAACAAAAGACCACATGTTGTGTCCAGAAAAGATGAATCCAAAGTTACACAAAGTAAAGTATTAGTTGCCAGGGGTTGGGGGAGGTGGGGAGTGTCTGCTGTTTAATTTCTGTTTGCAGTGATGAAAGTTCTCTGGAATTAGACAGTGGTGATGGTGTACATCTCTATGAATATACTAAAAACCACTAAATTGTAGACATTAAAAGGGTGAATTTTACGGCATGGGGAATTATATTTTTAAAAACCCACACCCATGAGCTAATGTTTGTATCGCACATTAAGTTTCATAGAGCATTTTTTTAAACCTGCTAATTAAAGGCAAAAGTATGGAAGAAAATATTTGCAAATGATGCAACCAACAAAGGGTTAATTTCCAAAATATACAAACAGCTCATAGAACTCAATAGCAAAAAACAAACAACCCAAATCAAAAAATGGGCAGAAGACCTAAATAGACATTTCTCCAAAGAAGACATCCAGATGGCCAACAGACACATGAGAAGATGCTCAACATCGCTAATTATCAGAGAAATGCAAATCAAAACCACAATGAGGTATCACCTCACACCAGTCAGA